ATAGTATTAAAAAGTATCTATGTTGTACACTGTACTACGGTTTATCTCTTTAAAATTGAAGCAAAGAAAAGTTGCCATTAATTCTCTAACAATTCTCAATTCTCTAATTCTCTCGTCGCGTTGCCGCACTTCGTTGCAACTGTTGTTCGATTTGTCCTCAATTCTCCTAAACTATCGGCGGCACAGCTCTACAGAATTGTTCGAAAAGTAGGAGCTCAGACCTTTGACTCGGAATGAAAAAAACCCTTGCAAACGTCAAAAAGTTCTTCAAAACAGCGTACTGCACCATGTGCAGCACCGGCCCGAAATATATGTAAGGTAACTTTTGATTATGCACGAAACGCTTTTGATCGTGCTTGGAAGCTTCGATCATGTGCGTGAGTGTAATGGAGGAAAACTAAATGCTTCTTAGAAGCCGTAGTAAAAATGGGACCGGAAGGAAGGAAGAAGTGGCTTCTAGAGGTTACTCATGCCTTTGTTAGAGAATTAATAGTAGACGACAGCCTGGAAATTTGGAAAAGAAGAGGTACAGAACTTGTAGCGCCTGGTCTGTAAAGCACTATATAAACACTATAGAATTTGTTGTATCAGTGTGGTATTGTACAGTTTTGTCTTCAATCATCACTCCATATTTCCTTACCTTTCTCTCAGGGGCCCCTCCTCTTTGGGGGCCCGCTAGTTGCCTTCGTAACCTCTTCGTTCCTATCGATGATCATTTCACTTCACTTCCACCCGGTGTGTCATTCACAAATTTTACTATCTTGATTGATCTAGTCAATTGCGCAGTCATCTAAAGCGCGAGTGATTCAAGTAGTGTGCATGCGTGTGTTCTCTGCGTTGGGAATAAATGGTGGTTGGGAGACGGTGTAGACTCAGACGTAATGGCGGCATTTCGGCATGGCCAAGTTTCAACTAATTTTTTATGGCGTGTGCTAGCCCGTAACATAAAAAGACTAAATTCGCAACATTATACCGGCTGGGGACTTTCTCCGGTCATATAGCGGGAAGTGTAATGTGAGAATTTATGATAATGGGTTAAGGCTGAACGATATAAACTGTGGCAGGAACAGAGACCCTGCCACACGAGGTATAACAAATAAAGCCTTACATGGAGGTTCCGGCTTCAAACTTGATTATTTTACGACAGTTGTCAGCTTGGCTCAAACTTTTTTTGATAACCGCAAGTATTATATAAACGCGACAAAATTTTATAACGCCAGTAATAAACGCAACGCAGCTTTTTCCTATCCAACTATCAATCTTCGCAATGAATCTCTAAAAGAATCGGACGGGCCTGACGACAGGGCAGCTCGGGTGTCCGTAATGCCCGAAATTTTGCTGAAATTAGTCGCTTTGCTGTATTCTATCGACTTGCGACAGCACTAGAACTGCTGGCCCGAGCTAGTCTCAGTAAATTATCGGCAAGCGTTATTTCTAGCTGGTCTAATATACTCTTCAAAATTGCGTCAAACATCTTCAACAGGACTTGTGGACTTTACGTTACGGACCATACGCACTATCGGGTTATGGCCCGCCACGCGGGAAATTTTTATTTCCCAGAAGGTGCCCAACGCGCCGGGGCACCCACTGCATCCCGGCGCACCTCTGCTGGACTTTTCGCGGCAGAGTTTGGAGGACTGTCTTAGCTGTTGAACAGGTGTGGTTGGCGGTTCCTCGCATCCCCGTGACTGTCCCCCGAAATTTCCTTGTATGGGAGGACCCGGACGAGGACGAATGGGAGCGGCGTTAAGAGAAGCCGCAACATCAGTAGAGGGGTGGGGGTGACCAACAAGAGGTCACCACCACCCCCCTACTGATGTTGCGGCTTCACCCCCCCCACCCCAAACATAGCTTCACGAAATCGTATGATATTATTTCATATACAGTGTGTTTATTGTCGTAGTTATGAACGCATTTCTCACATAGCGTGTTCACAAGTTGAGAATGAGATTGGGAATAGGAAAGGGAAAAATATCATGTGGTTATCATAACTTATAATAACGGGCTAAGGGTTGTTTACGTTTGTCTCTGTGTGTGTGTGTGTGTGTGTGTGTGCGTGCGTGTATATATATATGTGTGTGTGTGTTGTGTGTGTGTGTGTGTGTGTGTGTGTGTGTGTGTGTGTGTGTGTGTGTGTGTGTGTGTGTGTGTGTGTGTGTGTGTGTGTGTGTGTGTGTGTGTGTGTGTGTGTGTGTGTGTGTGTGTGTGTGTGTGTGTGTGTGTGTGTGTGTGTGTGTGTGTGTGTGTGTGTGTGTGTGTGTGTGTGTGTGTGTGTGTGTGTGTGTGTGTGTGTGTGTGTGTGTGTGTGTGTGTGTGTGTGTGTGTGTGTGTGTGTGTGTGTGTGTGTGTGTGTGTGTGTGTGTGTGTGTGTGTGTGTGTGTGTGTGTGTGTGTGTGTGTGTGTGTGTGTGTGTGTGTGTGTGTGTGTGTGTGTGTGTGTGTGTGTGTGTGAATCTCTGTCTGTCACGAAATTCGTAGAGCGAGTTCTAGCAAAGGTCTTGAGCTAGAATTTTAGTAGTGGCACCCTACCAGCATGTAGGTAACCTGTGCCAAAGGATAAGCGGATCCAATAAGTGGAACCTGCGAAAACTGAGCGCCAAACGGATCCACGCGACTTTTGGCGCGCCAAAGTGGGCCTGTATTTGGACTTTTTTTCAAGATCGTGGATTTGTTTGAAAGTAAATCCGCAAACCATGGACTCCGGCCCGAAAATTGGTCAAAAAGTCTACTTTTACGGAAGACCGGCGCCAAAAGGGAATAATTGCGTGGACAACCGATTTGTCAAGGTTTTACCCAAGAATCAGAGAAGATTTTTGTTCAGAGATGTTCACGGTTGTCATCATCCTTCTGGCGACTATCAAGCCATTACAACCCCAGTAATTGATTCAAAATCGCATTTGATCTTTTGGAGAAAACTTTCTTCCCCTCGAAGTCACCGATCGTAGACGAAAAAGCTTTTAGAATGAGTAGTTGCTTACAATTCATTTGTGATGATCGGGCATCGCATGGTAAGTTTCAAAGCATGAGTTCGCGACTACAAGGAAGGAAGGATGTGGATAGTAGAGCCAGTGCGAGCCTCTGCGAAGCAGAAGTGACGCTCTGGTATATAATAATGCGCTAAGGCTGTTCGTTCTTCTTGAGACTGTGTGTGAAAATCTGTTTGTTTCGAAATTCGCAGAAGGAGTCTCAGCCAAAAAATTGAGCCTAGTTTTTGCACAACGCATGCTACCAATATGAAAGTTTATCGTATGAAAATAGGAGCCGATCCGTCGACTGATTTTTCGTAAATTCCGCTTCATACTTGCAACCGTCGAACCAACCATAAAAGTTTGAAAACTGATTTAAATTTGTATTTATCCTCATAGGAAAAGCTTCACGAGAAATTGCTGATTTTGCACCAAAAAGCTCTAGAAATGAGTAGTCGTTTGCAGATTATTCACGATAGCCTGCACATTTGGTGTCTTATTGTGTAAGGATGAGAAAGCCATAAGAAAATGAAGTGCCATAAGAAACATATGTGTGCAAAGTTGCTTATCGGTTTACCCACAAGTTTTTTATCTGAAACATACATTTAAGAAACTCAGAAACTTCGATATTATACACACAAAGCAGTGGCGGGCGGAGGGAGAGGGGGGAAGCCCCCCCCCCCTCCCCCACCCCGAGAATGGGTCGCGAAATTTATGAAATTTACTTACACTGGTTTCAAAAATGTGCAAGTGACTTGTTCACTCTTGTAAACAACTGAAATAATTTTTGAAATTTTTTAAAAACTCGATTAGCCTCAAAAGTTTTTTCGGGGGTGTGGCTAACGCCTCGCGCCTTTCCAGACTTTAGGGTTTGGAGACCCGCAAAAATTTTGAGGAGCACCCCTGAAAATTTTCCGGAATGCGTGGTTAACGCCACGCATCTTCATTTGAGAAGAAATTTTTACCGCCTCCCCCCTGGGCGAAAATCCTGGACCGCCACTGACACATAGATATTCTAGTATGACTACTTCAAAATATTGAACTGGCCCGAAAATTCTGTCGCACTCTCTTGAAAACTGATAACTCCTGCATATCCCAACCAATTTGCTTTTATTCATTTATATTGAAAGAGCAAATGTTCTTCTTATAGCAATGTCTTAAAGACTTTAATGGGCATGCATTGCATAGAAGAGGCGGTGGGAAGAAGATTGCTCAAATTTTAAATTTTTTGTGTAGGGTCATGAAAGAATCTAAAACTTGCAGTAGATTGAAGCTGTTAGTATTGTAGGTTTCTATTACCTGCTCTATCTATGGTGCAAACATTGTGCTGATTGAGCGTCCCTATAAGAGGTATCAAATTTGCCCTTCTGCCATTGCTTGCTCAAAAATCATAACATTTGATAGAGAGAGACGCTCAATCCGCACGGAATTTGCACTCTTAGAAAGAGCAAGTAATAGAACCTATGATACTGTCTGCTCTGATTTTTACTGCAAGCTTTAGATTTTGTGTGACCCCACACAGAAAATTCAAAATTCGAGTAATTTTCTTCCCACCGCCTCTATCCATGCAATGTATGTCAGCTGGAAAGCCGCTAAGATAAAGCTATGAAAAGAACGGTTTGCTCTTTCAAACAAAGATAAATGCGAAAAAACTGATTGGTAAGCTCCTGAGTTATGAATTTCAAAAAAGGTGCGATAGAACATTTGGGCCAACCTAATAGTTGGTTAGATGACACACATGTTATTCACAGTGTAGGAGAAGGCATCGTCAAGAAATACGAAAACACATACGAGGTTTGTGATCATAAACTGAAATTTTTGGGAAGGCAAGAAAGCAGAAGTTGGCGCTATGTTTTTTTTCACGAAGCAGTTGCCTTACGTAATTTTGTTACTGTCGTCAAAACAACCCGAGTGACCCAAACACGTACACTTATCGTGTTACATGATTCTGTCACGAAGATGTAGACTCAATGTCGAAAATGAGTTCTTGCTGTGAAAAAAATTACAAGATTCATTCAGAGGAAGAATAGAGATGTTCTCATCTATTTTAGCCAAATCAAATAGTTGTTTTATAGAGCATGGTACATAGCTGAGTGAAGAAAGCGATGTTAAAGAATAGCAATTCAGGTGCTTCACGATTATTTGTCTCAAAATTAACTATGAACGAGATAGTAGGACATATGCTGTCAAACTATGCTTATCCCTGCGAATACATCGTATCATGGGAGGAGCTGAAAAGGTTTAATCAGCAAAAAGGTTTTTGACATTTATGTATCTTACGTAATATTTTCAGTTCTTGTAGAGACACCAGGGGATTTTTGTGATTTGCGCAATCGTTCCATCAAGTGTTCGAAGCTTTTATCGTCGTATTTCATGCAATAGGATATCTAGGAAGCTTTATAAACTTTCTGCAAAAAAAACCTATTGCACTAACATCACTTCTCACTCTCTGAGCTCTAATTTTCTCCTCCTTTCTTGCTTTTCTGAAAAAGGAGAAAACTTTTATACGTGACTGTTTTGTTTTGTAAATAGAATCACTTTTTTCTTCGACGTTCTTCTATCTTCCACAATTTCAAGCATTCAGAATTACAGCAGCCGTGTAAACCTTAAACAATCTACAATTTCTCATTCACCGATTGAGCTGCAAAAAGAAACAACCTTCGTGATCAGCACTTTGGGCATTTTCGTAACAATCACGACAAACTGTATGTTCACATAGCCCAAACTGAACATAATCATCGGTGAGTCGACCGCATGGACCATCACATTGTATCGGCACTTTAATCGCAACTAAAAATTATGCAGTCAAAAAAGCGGAACTATTGTCTTACAGGAACCTCTAGAAATGGTGCCATAAAATATTAGGTTGGTGCAAAAATAATGAGCGTTTTTATTTGCTTGCTTTAACAAAGCAACCAGACTCAACCCAACAAAGAGTAAGGGGTACTGTTCGATAGAGCAAAGCAAGCTCTACAAGATGGCACTCATGCCTTTGCGCCATGCTCGATCCACGGAGAGTTCGAACTCAAAATCTAAAGATTTCCAAATGCCCAAAAAGTCGAAAAAAATCAGATCTTCGTCCAAATAATTTCTACGGACCTCCCACTCGCTCATATCAATACTATCGATATCTGATATCCATATATGCAATTGTCGTATTTTTTCCTTGACTAGAAAATGAGAAAACGAAAATTTCCCTGATTTTCTCAAAGCAATGCTGAGCCGTTTTTGCATATGTAGTTCTATACTACAAGCCTAGGTAAGCATAACTGTAAGTTTTCAGCTCATTCCAAGCGGTAGTTTTTGAAAAATAACGAATTCGGATTTTTTCGTTTCAGTTTCAGTGCTAAAATCGACATTTCTCGAAAAGTACCGCTTGGAATGGGCTGAAAATCTACAGTTATGCTTACCTAGGCTTGTAGTATAGAACTACATATGCAAAAACGGCTCAGCATTGCTTTGAGAAAATCAGGGAAATTTTCGTTTTCTCGTTTTCTAGTCAAGGAAAAAATACGGCAATTGCACATATGGATATCAGATATCGATAGTATTGATATGAGCGAGTGGGAGGTCCGTAGAAATTATTTGGACGAAGATCTGATTTTTTTCGACTTTTTGGGCATTTGGAAATCTTTAGATTTTGAGTTCGAACTCTCCGTGGATCGAGCATGGCGCAAAGGCATGAATGCCATCTTGTAGAGCTTGCTTTGCTCTATCGAACAGTACCCCTTACTCTTTGTTGGGTTGAGTCTGGTTGCTTTGTTAAAGCAAGCAAATAAAAACGCTCATTATTTTTGCACCAACCTAATACATGAAGTACAGTTATGAAAAATGCTCATACATTTTAGGCAATAATTCTTGGAACCATGTTTTTTGCAAGCGATGGCACAAATTCGAATAACGACGATGTGCGCTGATATCTGTGGCAAAGCATCTAGCACTTATCTTTCTACAAGAACGATGCTGACAATTCATTCGCGGCAAAAGTTCCAGCAAAAGAATTTCAGCTACTGGACCGCTGTCCGTGCGTACGGACTTAGACTTTGTGGAAGCTGACATCAACAGCTCTACCACACAAGTAGATGCATGATGCAGGCAGCATACGCATCCGCACACATTTCGAAAAGCGTAGGTCAGAAAATCGTGTTTACGTTTCCGAGATAAGGGCCCTCTTTGATTGCTAGTGATTAGTTTAGGAAGTTTGTACCCCAATACTGCTTATGTGCAATGATCGCCTTCCTTGCGAATAACCTTCAAACTTCTTAACTACTTCTCACTTGTTTTTCATTTTTATTGGGTGCAGATCGAAGCATTTATGTAAGTGTAGAGTCATAAAGCAAACATTCATTTTGAGATTGAACTCAAAAAGCTTTTCGCAAATTATCATAGCAAATTTGACTTTGTTTTTACTTGAATGCAAGTAGTAGGGAAATCGAGTATATTGCCAACCATATGACCAAACTTGTATCGACGATGTGTGCAATGCGTACTCAAGTCTCCTAAATTTAGAATAAACGATATTTGAGTGTTTAATTATAATTCTACTTCAATATAAATCGCTTCTTCTTCATTTGTTCTTTCAGTACTTTCACTATTCTACCCCAACCTAAAGCTTCAGGAGTGCTATCCAAAGCTTTTCGTCAGAAAACTTGTCGTAATCATGTGCAAGGTTCTGTGATCAAAAGAGACTCTTGATCTTTTTTCGTCTGTTTAGCATCAGAAGCGCATAGCCTTGTGAGCTTACAAAGAAGGCCCCGAAGTCGAAGTGGGCTTCTTACGTGAAGTGAACGTCAATCTGTGGAATCATTCATCAACGAACCCCGAGGTTAGATCTTACCCTCAAAGGCAGGTTTGACCCTAAGGGTTCATTGGCCGTATTCATCACGAAACCTTGAGTATGGGGTAGAGTTTGCCCCGGAAATCACCCTTATCGATCAACGAACCTTGAGAATCCTACCCTTTGAGGTTATATCCCAGAGAGCGATTCAAGCGTATTCATGAACGTGACTCATTAGGGCAAATTTAACCCTAGCACAGAGCAAGAGTAAATTTAATCTGACACATCGTACAAACATCAAGGGTGGTAGTAATTTGATTAAAACTGTAATTCTAACTAAGTTCTCATAACATGAGGTCACCAGCAGCTTTACATCGAAACCACGCTGTAATCAATCGGAATCCACGACGTAGACAATTTTTCACTTGATTTTAAGTTTCGCAAAGTGATGTCATCGGAGGAGATAGAACCTCCAACCATTCTCACGCTTGACCGAGCAGTAATCAAGTGAGCTTCCATTGAGGACGACGCCTAATTTTGCGTGGCGGCGCTGTGGGACGACGCGATTTTGTACAACACTTTCGGCGTTTGAAAGATTTGTGATTATAAGTGAAATGTAAAGTTGTTTTGTAATCAACTACATTCGTCTTATTCGACGATGGAGTCTACGGTTTCCGAGAGTGCAAGAAACTGTAAAAAAAAATAGTGAACTACGGAGAAGATATTAAACTTGGAAAGGACATGATTTTGCAAGGGGTGTGGGCTACCGGTAATCCACATCGTCGACAATGGGTTAAGGTAACTTTCAGAATGATCTAACTCACTCTTACTAACTTGTGAATCCTCATATCACTGTTTCAAATGAAAAGTGGTCGACCGAATCAACTGAGAGTTCAGAAGATGATCGTGTTACCAACACGTAACCATGTTCAAACGATAACACATTTCATGATGGTTTTGAACAAATTACTACCACTCCAGTTGATCTCCCGGTGCACTACTCAGCTCACGATAATATTTTGACAATAAACACATATTTATGGTTACTACTATCTCAAACTTCCTATGGTTTCTTTTCGTTTTTTGTTTGATGTTATCGTTCGGTATTGTATTCGGCCAAGTTGTCACAGTAAAAGATTCAATTTTTGATTAAAAAGAACTTGTCCAGTTAACGACCTTGATATGGCGGATATCAAGCTCAAAAACTCGAAAAATTTTGGTAACTTGGAACTCTCTCATTCAAATTTTAGTGATTTGCATGATCACACTATCGTAGCTCACTAGATACACTTGAAGTTGACCAACAAAATAACAAAAAAATTTTGTCCTAATTTGTAATATGATTAGACGAGACGAAAAAAGGACTTGGGAAATTTGAGATAATAATAATTAGAAATATGTGTTTGTTGTCAAAACAGTATTGTTAAAACTGAACAATTGAGAGATTATTTTAGTTTGCACGAAGTGTCCGGAGTATAATTGACTTTGCTCTATGCTAGGGTAGAATTACTTAGCCACGTCCTCAGGAGTAGGATTTATCCTCAGAGCCTTCGATGAATACGGGTTAACCGCTTTTCGTGATAAGGTTTACCCTCAAGAGTAAGTTTAACCGTTATGGTCAAGCCTCTTTGGGCTTCGTGAAAACGTGTTGCTTTCTGGGTAAAACTTAATCTCAAAGACAAGATCTACTCTCAGAGTTCGCTAGTGAATACTGCCACTGAAGAGCAAATGCTAATTTCACAAGTCTTTTTATTAGCCAAGCGCCTATAGACGCTGAGTTATGAGCGTTTTCAAAAAAAAATTGAACGCTTAACTCGAAAATAGTTCGTACCAATATTGCTCTATTTGAGCACTGCAAAGACTGTAACAATTGTTTTCACTCAAACTTGAGCTACTTTTTAGCGAGCGTCCAATTTTTCGCTCCAACAACTCTCATAACTCAACGTGCAAAGACGCTTGGCAGGTCATGAGACCAAATTTGAAATCAGCATCTAAAGCACTTCATAATGGTTTTCGTATGAAAAGTTCACTTCGATGTTGAGTCTTTCTTTTGTAGCGATGAACTTAATGCGCATAATGAATGTCATAGACCTAAGCGTTATGTTTTGAGCGTGCTTGACAAATGCGTGAGAAGAGTGAAGGAAAATAGATGTTTTAAAATTGCGAGACAGAATCAAGCCAACGAGGCGTTTTTGGGTTACATTTTTAGGTTACATTTTAGTTACATCCTCAACAAACTTAGTTACTGATGGTATTGATGAGCCTCGTGTGTGGCAATCTATAATCTATTTAGTCTCTAGAGGCAAAAACTTTTTATTATGAGAAACTACTCCTATTAGATGCGACATATAGAAAGCTCACTATTGCATATTATAATGTTATCGCGTCATGAGTGATCTTGTTGTAGGTAACCCCCAACTTTCAAAGGACTTATGCTGCTTATGCTAATGCCGAATATTGTTATTAACACTGATTGCATAGAAAAATGAAAATAGAAATAAAGAAAGCGGCATAAAGCAGATTGGAAGGAGCATGGCAGCAACAGAAATTGCAATAATATGCAGAATCGTTCTCAGCTGTCTTATTTTTTTTTGTCAACAGCGACAGAATCACTAAGCCAAGATATTTTTGAATATAATCACATGACAGCGCATATATTTGAACAAACCTCTATTAGATCTTATCAGCTTTTGAACAATATGATCCCACACAATATAGCTTTCTTCCGTTGAGTCAGACCAACTGATATTATAATTGTATATTAACCTGAAACATAATGCGGATAACATAATTTGTCAACATAACATAACATCTTTTTGAAATAGAACTCGAATTTTGTTTCTTTCGCTAGCTCTGCGTTGTAAACAGTAAACTTTGCAAACAGAAGGAGTTGTTGTGCTTGCTCTTCCTTGCAATCAAGCAGCGCAATTCTCCGCGTTTGTCGTGACATTTGGGGTTATCACTAAGTATACATCACTGAGCAAACCTTCAAATCATTTTACATTGAAGACATTCAATGTGAAATGATTTGAAGATTATCATGATTTATGAGTCATCATGATGAAAGGACATGCATGACTAACAGCTCTAAATATCGGTGATCTACCAAAGCATCACCAAGATTGCATCTTTTTTCGCGCAACTTCTACTTCGCGAACGCAGAGCAATTGAATTTAGGTACTGTTTTAGAAAAACGCTAGCTGTATTTAGAATCCGCGAATTGCCGTCAGTGTCGTCTTTGACTATGAATACAAGCATTTGTAGAAGAAGAAAAAACGATATCAGTCTTAGTCTAAGTTTCGTCTTCCCTTAGACAGAGTAAACGTTTCCATAGGTTCTCCTCGGAAACTCTCATTACGGAAGTTCATAAACACGCGTACACATCAACTGAGAAGTGTGTAAAAGCATTTATTGCCGAAAAGTGTACGACTGCAAAATGCTAGCCGAGGGCAGCTGCCATCTGATTTCCTAATGGCAAAAGCTTGACGCCTTTCGCACCCGTGCAGTGGTACGAGAGGTGTCAAGGTATCGCACAATTCTAATCAAGATTTTTTGAAATTGCAAAAAGTTTCATCACAGATTATCAGAGTTAAAGGCGTAGATTCCGCTTGCGGTAACTTTTTGAAGCTGGATTTCTATAATACAATTGTGGATCGAAAACATAATGCGCGAATGTTTGATGTAACGTCGTAAGTTTCATATGCTTTAACTTCTAATTTTGGAGCACTTTTCATGTGTCAACCAGTAGTTTGAATTTCATAGCCCACAGTGTGAAGGAGAACATATACGTGCTGTTGTTTACAATGTTGCGGTCGGAGAAGCTAAGATCGAGGTGAGATGCGTAGCAAGTATTACCCAAGCATCCGCTTAGCCGCAGCTGAGCCACCGTAAGTTCGTGTCCATAATCTCTCGCCGAGAGATTTTCGCAGCAGCCTCGCATCATATCACGTTGAGGTGCGAGAGTTCCCTCACAGGTCGCGCGACTGCCACAAATTATTATATATCAGTCAAGACCGCAGAAAATTTGCGTAAATTAGTAAATTGCGATACAAAAAATATATGAAAACAATAAAAATTAAGGAATCAAATAGTTGAATAATCATAAGATTGGATCAAGTCTATTATTATGGAATTAATACATTGATAATATAAAATAAACAATTACTGAGTACTTTTTAGCACACTTTGTAGAGACATTTAAAGCAAAAATTTTTTAAAAACTTATGCAGGTCAGATATTAGAAAAAAATTGTGCCACATTCAGAGGTATAAAAATTGAAACAATGTAGAGCAGCTAACATTCCCTATGTCTATGGTCTTCAGTCAGAGCATCTCGCTGAAAATCCGTATGTAGAAATCTCGCCGTTACTAGGTAGTTTTCAATTTTATGTTTGTTACCGAAACTTTTGAGTATGATACAAATTTCTCAATCTCAAAATTTGTTACCTGCTACAAGCCAGCTCTCCCCTTCAGCTGTCGTTTTCCGGGAATTTTGCGGGGAGCTCGAAATAACTGAGCAGAGGGTTCAGCCCGTAAATGTGTATGATGTCTCAGGGTCTCACTTTTGCTACTTTTCAATATCTCAAAAAAACACCAAGGACCGAAACAACACTATACACCTGTATACTATATACCTGCCGCGGATGTAGGAGACCGAACATAAAATAGACTTCTTTGGCGGTATATGAGTGTTAGCTGTTTAATTAATGATTCTTCTTTAGGTAATCAATGATCTATTTGAAGAAGATTCCTGCGTCTTGACGCACGACTATATACTCCTAGGTAGAAATTAAGACAATGGCCCGTAGTAAACTATTGTCAGGGCATCTCCCCTGAGGCGGACCGGAGTTGAAATCTTGGCGCCTCAGTCCAGCATCCGGCGAGCTATTGATCTGGATGCAGATCGCTTCCTGGACATTGTGATCAAGTGCCTTCTCGAGAAAACAGCTACTTGATTCGATTTGGTTAAATGGGTAAGCCATTGGAATTACACGCGCGCGGCCGTGGTTCGACTCCGCCTAGCGAGACAACTTTTGCTGCATCGCCGGGCAATCTTTGATAGCGGCCACTATCCAATCGATGATGACCGCTATCAAGGATTTCGCCTAGCAAACGCAAAGATAAAACAAAAAACATTTCGTTACGAAAATTCTGCAACAAAACGAAATGGTTGCAACGTGAATTCAACGAAATGAACAAATGAGTCCTCGTTTTGGACAGCTTCAAAAAAAACCAGTAAAGTTTGCAAAAAAAGAGAAGAATTTGTTTTTTTCTGTCTTCCTCGCCAAAATCAGCTGTTCATCGATCCTCTCCTTTTCGGGCGCGGTTGTGCAATTTTGCGCCGATTTTGTCCGCAGTGTTAGGCAAATTGCTGTGTATCGTAAGTTACTCAGGAGCAACTTACGAAGATTTTCTCTGCGTTTCCTCTTTAGCACACTATTTCTGGACATCATCGCTCATATCATCTCCCATGACCCGGCAGGGAGATCATCTCCCTGCCGAACTTCACCTGAGGCTCACCTCTCAGGTGACATTGCATCTCTATAGCATGGGGAAATGGGTGGTCGTCATTTTACTAACAGAACCTCACATGAAGGTCTCGGGGGAGATAATCTCCCATGACCGAGCTTTACTACGGGCCAATGTTTTGCTTTTGTTGTCTTTTACTTTCTACATTTTTTGTTTTTGTATGAGTTGTTTTATTGTGTTTTACCAACAAACTACCAAACTTTGCGGTCTTGATCGATGTATAATTTGTGGCAATCGCGCGGCCTTTGAGGGATTTCTTGCTCCTCAGCGGGATGAGGTGCGAGGCGCTGCGAAAATCTCTCGGTGAGAGGTCATGGACGACGAGAGCGGCTCACGGTAGCCCGGCCGCGATGTTGATGTCAGCTCCGGCGGCTGGCGTGGCACCAGGCGGTGGACTGGGTAGTACCCCACGCCTCCCATCGAGGTGATATGGCCGAGCAACTTGAAGAGGCGGAGATGAGGATGACGGGAGACGGCAACACTTCATTTGAAACGGTACTTTCAACACGAGATAAGACCCCTGCTAGTTTACACTAATGATCCATCGATTTGTTTCTTGCCAAACAAATCCGTCTTCATATATCCTCGTGAATAACTATTGAGAACATGAAGCATGTCCCAAAAAATGTATCGAACGTTTGATCTTCAATGACTTTTTTATTTGGAAAGCTTTCGCGGATCTTTGGGTACCATATAGTAGGACTAGCTTCCGCTTCGATTTACAGTACAAAGCGGATCACCGCTTTCTCTTAATTACTGTAGAATTACTAAAATTTTCGACTAATTTTAAGCTTCTGACAGACGAGAACTGATTCTATTTTCCAAAAGAAAAAAAACCGAAGGGCGTCAACTAACATTTTGGAGTGAGTCACAGAGCTTTCCTATACCGTACTTTTTGGCTTCGTACGGTATGAGCACTAAAACAATGTAACAATGACTTTCGGCTTTTTTCCAAAATTTACTAGATCAACGTTGCCTTTGCCAAGCAAATTCAGTTGAACCTTAAAAACTTCCTAGTGCAAAAAATTACAAAAATCAGGTTTTAAACACATAATGATTAAATTTGACTGATTTGATTGAGACTTCGACGTGTTTGTAACTGCAACGTTGAATTGAATTAATGGAAAAAAGCCAAAAATTCAGCGTTACGGTGCGCAAATTGTAAGAAACCGAGGAGTACAATGGCGGAAAATCTTATGATTATATTCAACATTCCCGGAATTCCTAGTTTGACGTCTCGGTTTTTTTGGAGTTTTTAGAAGCAATTCCCGTCTATCAGAAGCCTAAAATTAGTCGAGAATCCCTACCGTAATCCTACAGTAATTAAAGGAATGGGTGATTCGCTCTGTACTGTAAATCTAAGTCGAAGCTAGCCCTACCGTTTGGCACACAAAGCCGCAAAAGCTTCCCATGTAAGGAAGTTATTAAAATTCGAACATTTTTTTGGACACCTCGTATATTCTATGTTGTTCTGTTACGGTAAGTGAGTACCCAATTTACTACAGAAGTTTGACTTGCCTTGAATCGTCCGAGTAATAATTGCTGAAGAAGACCCACTGCAAGCAAAAAATGCGATAGACGGAATTTTTTTAGAGCTGCCAATTCCGCAGCCTAATTTTGTTCGAACTTGATTTTTAGCATGTTACAAACGGCATTGGTGCCTTATACGAAGGAAAAGGGGAACTTGGTGTTTTTGAACAGAATACATGTTGAAGAATGACGTCTTTCGCTATCCACCTTCTTACAGAAATCACCTTGGTGCACAGGCGTTATCTGACACAAAAGAAAATGGTCAGAAGTCGAAATCCAAGCTGCATACGATTAGCTGCAGTATAAAAGGCCGACTTTTTTCCCCATCTGCTTAGCGTCTTTGTGGACGAGTTGTAAGCAGTTTTATTGCGAAGGAATTGTACATAAGAATTGCGAAATTAAGCACATTGTTGCACTTTCAGCTCACGTTTAGCTTCAAGAATATAAAGTAGCCTAGCCGCATGTTTTGGTTCAGCATTAAGCCGAATACGGTTAGCACGACTTCTCAGCAAAACAGTGGCATTTAACGGCTTATAACTGCGCACACATAGGCGCTATGCAGATATGGAATGCACGAATTCAACTGCAGCATGCTGCACCTAATGGTTTGTAGCTTGTTTGGATTGGCGATTTCTAACCATTGTTAGTATGAATATAGTGATAATCCTTGTTAGTCTAAAATGCATTTTGCTTTGCAAGACCCCCTTTAGTGATTAGATAAAGGTTATAGAAAATATACAACGCCAGGTCATATCTCAGCAGAATCAACAATGTTTAGGATTTTGCTAACCAAGTCGTCTAGCATCTCCTTACAAATGTCATTTCCGTACGACATCCGTTCATTTGAACCCAATTAAAATACTGCAGCTTTCTTTATTAAGTGTAAGCCCTTGCGAATCCTTTTCAAAACCTTCTAGGGCTTTCTAGCGAATCAGAACTTCTTTCAAATGCTTATAATGTGCTGGCTTTTCTCAGCTGCTCATATCGAAAGTCAGTGACAGAGCGCTACACAATTTGGGCATCCTCTGTCCCTAAAATAACGTTTTCTCGGAATTTCGTAAACATTTTTTATTAAGTTGATGCAAAAGAAATGGCCGATTTTCTAAGCCTTTTTTCAGAGCAACTTTTTTCCATCAATACTTCTTCTTTACAATGGAAGGAGTATATTGCCACGAAGCCGTTTTCATGCTCTATCTAACGGTGCTTGAAATGGGCTCTCATTCTCATTTTTTATAAGGTTGCTGACGATGAGCTTCAAATAACCGCATCTAAATTCAGAATTTCAATGCATTTACTTTTCCAGCCAGAATTCAAGCGCGTATCAATGGGATTTCTTCAAAAACTTAGCTATTGTATGTAATGGAAATTTTCTACATTATGCATAGTTAATTGCATTCTTTGAAGTTATCCAGACTGAGATATCGGCGCCTAAACAAGGGTAGCTGTTGCGGTCATTTTATGGCCCATAATTTTCTTCTGAGGAAGTCAGTCGCCGAAGCTTTGCTCAATTCTGTAAGCGTAGAGCTAGGACATTTATTGGCAGTTTTTGCAAAAACGTCCAGCTGTTCAGTACGTAGAAAATAAGAAAATTCTATATTTCGGACTTTGAGGCACAATGAAAAAATGTTGAAAAAACTGAGAAATTTTAAATTTCAATTCTTTCTTTCTCGCAAACTTTTTTGTCCGAACTCTTTTTATTGTATTTTGTACTACTGGCTTGCGGCTACAAGATAGGCCACTTATCATTATACTAAGAAACTCCGAAGGAAGTTATGAATTGTCAAAAACAAGGTTCCCGCAGAAGAACCTTTTTTCTCTTTTAGTCCTATTTCTCTTGCCATTTATGGTTTGAGTATAAATAAGTACGCGCTGTATCGCGAAAGGTTTGCTGCTTCTGGGGGTCTTTGTATATCATGTATATCAGCCACGCCTGCTGACGCATATCACGCTCAAAAGGCATTTTTCAGATGGAGCTTTGCTGCCTGGTCGGGTTTTTGGTATGACTCATAATTGCTTCAAAGTAATGCTTGGCAGCTAAGAACAGAATGATATATGAACTCATAAGGCTAACTTTAGTGATATGTAACTTTTCAAAAGCTAATCTGCAGGTGTGAATCTCGTTTTAGTGAATATGATAGCACTTCTTATCTATGTCCTATTGCCCGTTAGTATTTCTACATCAGCTGCCCTTGCTGGATTGAGGTAACCCTGCATATCTTTACTGGGCAACGGATGCAAGATGTAATATTCCTGTACTTTTTAAAAGCTTAGGTCTGCTAGCCTCTAAAACTGCGCAAGCAATTTGAGGTTCTAAACGTACGCAGTATTTGTTCATGTTGTGGTTTTCATGATGAATATAATCGTAACTCTTTTAAGTGAGCAGGCTATGCGGTACAGTATACATGGATGACGGTCCTTGCTCGACAAGCTGCAGAGTGTCAATTAAGAATATAGTTAAAGGATTGTACCTTCCCAGCTGTGCGTCGCGATATACATTGTAGCCAATGCAATGCAGTTCCGCTCTTTCAGAAGCACCAGCAAAAACAGGCAGCATTTGGCGCATGCTCAGTTTCTCGCTAAATACAATTTCTTTTGCAATCTCCCTGTTAGCAAGTGTTCAGTACTTATCAACTGAATCGGCCATGTCGCAAGCAGATGAATGTATGTGCAGTAATAAATAAACCACCCTTCGTTCGACGTATGAGAGCAAACTCCCACTATTACAAGTGATATCAATCAAGTTCAGACAGCGGCATGGTAGAATGATGTTATGTTTTGAAAAGGACTTGTTGCTTTGTTACGGTGGCTCATGATTTTTTGCCGTTTTTATTACAACCGTCGTCTTTTTGTATCTTCCCATTAATTTTTGTAACCTAAACTATCATGCGACAGGGCAAAGCAAGTTCTATACCCTTGATATCATTAGTCTGCCCAATTCGTATTTCACATGGAGTTCTGAGCTGAAATATTTACGTAAAAAACTCGTATCTTCGTCCCAAAAAATCTCAAAAGTTCTCCATTTTTTCTAGCATATGCTTGACACATCAAACTTGATTGTACACTTTTCAAATTTTTTCTCACGGTCAGAAATGAAGAAAAAATTGATTGGGGTAAAATGGCAAACTCCGCCCTTAAAAGTCCTGAGCCCCTCCCACACAAGTGATCATATAGCTCATACATACAAAAGTACTGCCATGTTTTTGTATCCTTTGTAAGTGCCCTAGTTCTTGAGAAATGCTAATGTCTGGAGTAAAAACGGTTAAAAAAGTGAAATGATTTTTGAAGTTTTTGTGAAACTCACAATAACCTTGTCAATATTTTTTCGTTAGCGGTAGCCACACGCCCTTTTAAAACTTTGCGGTGATGGGCACGTAAAAATTCTGCAAAGCTCCAATTTAGGGGTGTGATCAGCGCCGTCACGCACTTTATTTGAATTTAATCTTCGCAGCCGATGCTAGGAAAAAATCCCCCCCTCTCCCCGAACGGGTTTCTGGAACGCACTGCCGCTGAAGTATGGAATATTATGGGACAACTTGAAGGCCTTCCTTACTTCACTCTTCGACCAGATCACCATCAACGGGAAGGTGTCGCGAATCTGGTCTACAAGTGTCACAGTTTCCTATCTGGAAGAACAAGGACGACGTCAGCAATTGTTCAACATAACGACCAATACGCTGTGCCACACGCTAAAGATTTTCGAGTGATTCATCGACACACGCATCCAAAGTAAAAAAAATCAGCAATCAGCAAAAATCCAGACTTTCTTCTGTTTCTTTTGATCCATTAGCAAACCCCCTTTACAAAAAGGTCTGTCTTGATCTGAATTACCATCTCAAAAAGTTTGTGAGCAATCATGAACTTCACCTCGCAAGACGTGGAAGCAAGGAATTATTTCGCTACTTCAGAACAAGAGTCAAAGGTGATTCTTCATTACCGACCTTGTCGGATGACCTTGGAAATAGCTATAATGAGGACCAAGAGAAAGCTGATGCCTTGGGGCTACTCTTTGCTAAAGTATATGATCATCCTTCACATGATAGCATTGCATTGACTTCACTTGCAACGCAAGTCCATGAAACATGTGGCTCTGTGGAAGTTACTCCTGAGCGGGTTTTTGAGGTTTTGAAAAAACTCAAGTCTATGAATACTGCCACCTATGACAGAATTCCACAGATCCTATACAGAAAGTGCGCTCTTACTCTCAGTTACCCACTCGCGTACATTTTTAATGTATCTCTTTCTACTGCTAAGGTCCCAGCAATTTGGAAAAAAGCTCTTGTCACAGCTATTCCCAAAAAAGAGAATATCACTGCTTTAGCGAATTTTCGTCCCATCAGCATCATGCCTTCTGCTGGTAAAGTCCTTGAGAAGGTTGTCCGAACCAAGCTGTATGAGTGGTTCAACGGTAACCATGTTATTCCACCAGAACAGCATGGTTTTCTGCCTGGCTACTCTACAACAACTTTACTTCTGGATTCAGTATTTGACTGGATAACTGCTCTCAATAATGGAAATTCTGTCGACATCATTTATTTCGACTTTTCCAAGGCTTTTGACAAGGTAAATCACCAAAAGCTTCTTCTTAAACTTGAAAGTTGTGGAATCAGAGGTTCTCTACTGTCTTGGCTAACATCTTATCTCCAAGACAGAGGGATGACGGTCCGCGTAGGTAACAGTTATTCGGATCGCTACCATTGTAGTAGTGGAGTGCCTCAAGGAGGAATTCTTTCACCCTTGCTTTTTTTGATCTATGTGGCTGAACTTCCAACGTTTTTAAAAACTCATCCCGATGTGAAAGTACAGATGTTTGCTGACGACATAAAAATTTATTTTTGCTACAGAAGTAATCAGCAAGATGAAGCTTTTGAAGCTCTGTCGACCGCAATACATCGAATGTCACAGTGGTCTGAAGAGTGGAATATCCCTATAAATACCTCAAAGACGACAGTAATGCACCTTGGACATTCTCCTGGGCGTGTCTACAGCTACAATGGTATCGATCTTGAAGCATCTGTTATTATTAGAGATCTTGGTGTCCTCATTGATAACTCACTGAAATTTTCTGCTCATCTGGACTTCCTCATTAAAAAATCATCTTCACTGCTTTTCAAGATTTTTAGAAGTATTCACAGTAAAGATCCAGAACTTTTTGTAAATTTGTATAAAAGCTGTGTGTTGCCTCATCTGGAGTATGCATCGCCTATTTGGAGCCCTTTTTTGAAAAAAGACATTGAAAGGTTAGAAAAAATTCAAAAAACTTTCACAAGAATTGTCTTCTATAGGTGCTTCCCAGATGATGGCTATCCACAGTCATTACCGTCATATCGTTTTAGACTAGATACCTTGAAGCTTCAGAGCCTAAAATACAGGCGAGTAGTAAATGATCTAGTATTATGTTTTCGTATTCTGCGTTTGGAGACCAAGATGAGAGCAAGTAAGTACTGGAGCTTTATACCCCATAGCCAACGAACAGGTGGGTTTCATATGTACTATCGTAGACTTGGCAAAAAACTATTTTCGATAGCTTTTAATTCGTTCATCTGCCGCACCTCTCGATGGCTTGCCTTGCTTCCTTCAGAAATTACTAGTAGCGAAAATTCTTGCAAATTTAGGAAAATGTTAGAAAACATAAACGTGTTGAGAGTGATTGAAATTGATGATTTTTAGAACATTCAATTACCACAGCCCTTTCCACTGCGGTTTATGGTTTCCACTGTCCGGACGTGTCCTACCAAATGGCTTTTCTTACTATCGCATTATCCATTTTGTTCAGATATACTTTTTGAACTATGCAATTTTCCTTGTTAAAATTATCTGCAGTCAGTCAGTAAGGATTTTCTGCAACTGATAATCTTCAGTTTGATGTTACTAACAATCGCAACAATTGCATTACTAACGATGTTCAGCTCATCCTACTTGACAGAAAAACACAACCTATCCATCATATTTTAGTCGCTTCTGATGGTGAATCCACTATTTTCCTACATGAATTCACTCTTATATTAATTCTGCTTTCTCGCTGCACACTTGTCAGTAAATCCTGCTGTTCTTACAAAAATATTCTTCTACTTCAAAGGGGTTCTGTCAGCTAGTTTCTGCCCGTAAGCTCGCTGGCACTCAAATTTATGGGTACTTTGTTAATTTTTGTAGACGGCAGGGTTTCTACATTCATAGGCCAGTTGCTACACATTTCACTTCTGGCCTAAAACTTCGTTCGCGTGCACTCATACCAGATTTTATGTTATCCACTGGCGCCTCTAGTACGCAAACCCTCAGATCTTTGTATCTGTCGGTGGCTAGGATGAGCTGATGTTATGTTTGTTTGTCTATTTTTTTCGGTGCACCCTGAGTGTATAGTACAAATAAACAAATAAACAAATAAACAAAATTCACCACTGAACTTCAAGCTCGAAATTTCAATAAAACCCCCGTTTCATGATGTGCAGGATGACAGCGAAGTTACCGTGTGCAAAATCAGCTCTTCTTGGTGCTAAGTGGGTGCAAATCAGCGTTGCTGTCAGTTCATGACCTCTCATGGACTCTGCTAACTACGTGGCGGCGAGCTTATCAGGGTATGTAAGTTCCCTCACCTCCTTGTTACAATGAGTCAGCACATATAATGCAACTTCTTATACTTCTTATACTTTTTCTCAACTTTATATATTTTTGAGTGTGGCGCATTTATTTTGCAGTCATGAAGATTATGATGTATATCGCATGAGGGGTTAAGATAGCTTCAAGTTCTGAAAGGAAGAATCTTTTGATGCTTCAAATTTTACCAAACTTCATCTAGGGGTTATTCGATATGCCAATTACAAAATGATATCCACTTTGCATGAAAAAGCCTTTTTCGCAGAATCAAGGTACGATTTTTTGTTCTCATACGAATATGATGTCTGCCTAGCATGTCGATGTCGACTTCACTGTGCCAAGTCTCAATAAATTCTAAGGTTTCGCCGCTTGCTTGTTGACGGATGCTCTCCAAATTTAGAGCATTATACTCGTTCAATTTTCCAAGGCGTCAGTTCTTAACTTGACCCCAAATCTGATTCTTTTTCACTGAATTTGATAATTCAACCTCTAGCGCAACACGTTGCCTACAATTCCGTCTTATGTGTTCGATTTAGGTTGTACACGGCTTCATTCTTGTTCAAAAACCCTAAAACTTCGATTTTCAACGTTTTTTGTCGAAAACCTGTTTCCTATAATTATCAAATTCACTGATTTGCGCATATCGTTTACACGATACGCGGTCTATTCAGTTGTTCCAAAAGATCGTATTTTCATTTTCGCTCTGATTTCTTTGACGAAAATTAGCGACAAGATGAGCATATAATTGTAAAGACTTGATCATGCTTTTTGAAATAGACTAACTAGTTTCAATTTAAAAAACTGATCTGTTGTGGTTTATCAGCTTCCAAAGATGGGTTTCACAACAGGCTATAAGAAGCATTTTTGACATTTGCTCAATTGTTCTTACGAGTAAAGTGTTTTCCCTAATTCTCTTACCGACTATGAAAAATTGCGTCCTCCGTCAATATGAGATGAAAAAAGGAATAAATTGCTTGAAGAACCAAAGTTTTGCAGCGCGCCCTTGAACAAGGCTTTTTGTAAAATCGGCAAGAGGTCCTGCACACAAAATCTCCGGACAACGAAATGATCGCTA